CAAGTGTGTTAAGTGATCAAGCTGAAAAATGCAGAGGCTCTCACTTCAAGAAAAGCCTTTGCCATTCTTCTTCAGATCCTACTGTTTCAAGTTATGTGAGCAACCTTTTGTATACCTTTGAACGGACTGATAGGAATAATCTTTGCCTAGCAAATCAAGATTGTTTGTGTCACGCTTTTATCTTCAGCCCTAAGCTTTGCAGGATTCAGCTGGCTGTTTGAGCCTGATTTTTTAGCTTGTGGCAAATGACACAAGGCCAAAGTAAAGTAAGAATTGTTTTTTTCTATCACCTTTGAAAAGAAATTAAAGGAGAGAGGCTCACAGTCCTTTTCACACTGTGTGAGCAAAGTGTTTCTGTTACATGCTTACTAATGCTTTCATTTGTAAAGCTGCAAGAATTTTTTCTTTTCAAAAGTGGAAATGGAGTCCTTAAAATTATGGCAGTCTGTGCTGCGTAATCTACTCTTCAACCATTTGCTCTGGTAGTCTTTGTAACTTGAAAGCAAGTAAGCAAAATTTTGTTCTATCACTGCAGAGTTTCTTAATCCATTGATTTGGAATGTTGTGTAAGATTTTTCTGTCCTTTGTATGTATTGCATCTTGCTTTGGTGCAAGGACAAGGAAAGATCTCTTCCTGTGGGTTTTTTTTCCTTCCTTGTTTAAGAGTGGTAACATAAACTACTGCTATTTTCATGTAGTTCGTCTATGAACTGCAATATTAAAGCTGGGTTTTGGTGGATGAGTGGAATAAATTAGAGTCTCACAAAAGACAACTCTATTGTTGTCAAGTTAAAACTTTCCATCTTCATTGTTTTGCTGACACAATATAGGCATAGCTCTTAGAAAATGAAATTTTAAACTGGCTGTGTTGTACTTAGCATTTTTTAAAAAATAATAGGCTGTCTCAGAACAGTGCACTGGATTTTTTTTTAATATTTGAAAAGTGAGTTTAACAGTATATTAACCTGCAGAGTGTGATTGGGGTCCCTTTCTTCAAAACATTCAACAGCTATGTAGGCTTCTGAATATTGCCCAAGTGTTTATAAAGTGCTTAACAAAAAAAGGGCTTATGAAGAATTTTCCTTATGTAGTATGTACTAAGCCTATCTCCTGTAGAAGACAGCCTAGATTCTTTGGTGAGTGTGGGAAGCTGTTACCTTTCCACTATAACTTTCATATCTTTGTGGTACAAGTTCTGGTGGGGAAGAATTGTTTAAGCTGGGGATGGCTGTTGAAGAAATGCATATGGAATGATGTTTTGAAGTAGCATATACCATTTGGTTGACCTGAAAGGTGTGTGTAGGCAGGATGTCATAGCTGAGCGGATATTGTGGTAGAAGTAAGTGTGCCCTTCAGTGTTGGTGCTCCATGTGCTCCTTCAGTTGGGGTACTCTTAATTTAGATATTATCAGATCTAAAAAGCTCGTGTACTGTAACTCAAGAATAAATATTAAGAATTTGTAATTATTTTTGCTGATAAGAAGAGACTCTGCATTGAGGGGAAAGGGGAAGGGTAGGGAAGTGGGCACATCCTTTGGTTGGTAGGGGTATGCGAATGTCTATATATTGGGTGGAAAAAAAGAGATGTAAAATACAGAAATTGCTTGTAACACCACTTAGAGTACTTTTGTTTCTGACTTTACTGCCCTTCCTTACTTTGGTGCCCCAAATGAATGAATGTTCTTTTTCAGTTGCAGTTTACTGAGAGAGACGGGTGAGACGTGTGTGTGTGTGTTGGGGAAGAGGTGAGTGTGCACCTGAGAGGAAGAAAACTAAACCAAAACAAATAAACCCCCCCAAAACCAAAACCACCAACAAACAACCCCAAAGCCTTGAACGAACAAAGAAGTCCCAGTTAGAACACTTTTCTTCATGTTAATATTGAAATTTTAATTTTAACTGCTGATGGGTATTCTTCTTAACGCAATAATCTCAAAATTGTTTTTGTACAGTAATGTTCTGCTGAAATTTTTTGCAGGCAAAAGAATACCTTGTTTTTCTCTCTTGAAGAGAAAGTCCTATTTTCTTGTATATGCTGATTTTTGTTCCTTTTGTTGATTTGGATGTTAAATTAATTGTTGACTTGGAGTAAAATTACTAAATTTGTTGGACTTTTGTTAGTGAGGTAAGGTGTACCTTTCAAGCTAAGGACATCACACTAAACCATCATCAAGATGTGCGAGACGTTTGTGAAAGTGAAGTAGCAGCAAAAAAGCAGCCAAGAAAATTCCGCGTAGCCTTATCCCTGTTCCCGGATGCTCTTTCCTGTGTCGCCTTCTCCAGATTTTCTTTTCTGGCATTTGTGCTGGGTGGGCGGAACAGGATGTAAAGGGGGTGCCGTAAAGCTGCAGTTTAAGTAAGGGGCGTATTCTGTTTCTGTCTTGGGTGCAGATGTGTTTGCCAGGTGGACAAGCTACTGTTTCTACTGGCACTAGCTTCTGTGTATCTTCTGCCTGCCCTCTTCTTCCCCCTGCCCCAACTCAGCTGAACATGGTGGAAGAGCAACTACAGTTGCTGCATCACCCTGGCAAGCAGGACTGTGCTTCCCCTTCCTAAAGGAACCTAAATGCACTGGTGAAGGCAAGACAATCGTGGCAACGGCCTGTGCAGAGTGAGAGTGGTAAAAAAGCTGGCTTTTCTAGGGGTTTGTGTAAGCAGGCAGTACATGGACTGCAGGGATGACCAGTAGCATCTTGTGCATAGGGCCTTTCAACAGAGTTATGACTAGTTTCAGGGAAGTAGCTAGATGTTGAAGGATGCTGGGAACATTTGTTGGAATTGAAGCATAAGGAGTGTGAGAGGGTAGGCTGGATGAGATTTTTAATGAATTTGCTTGTAACCTGGAGTCCCCTTTTTTTTTTTTTTCGGGTTTTTTTTTGAGTTACGGTAATTTCAGACTGTCACAGTTGGGAAACACATGACAGATTTTAGATGTTATAGGCATTTAGGACAGGCCATATTAAAAGCGTGTGTGTATATTTCTGTATGTCTTCTTACAGACATGTATACATATGTAACCACATTCTGCCATCCCAAATAGAAACAGCAAAGGCTTTCTGCCCTTGGCCTCTGCAGCTTTCAGAGGCATGCTGGGGGACTGCTAATGTCACAATTTAAAATTACTTAGCTTACTCCTAAGTACAAACAGAAAGTGTGGTAAATGTCTTTTCAGCTCTCCAAATGACAGAAAACCAGAAGTATAGGCTGCTGGAAATGAAGGTCTTCAGTACCTTTGTGGAGAAGGACAGAGGCAAATGAAAATGTGAGGTTCTTTGCTCCAAGATGCATATAAGGAACATTAAGATTAAAGTAATTTTCAGCTCAAGCGGTTTTCTCTACCCCAGGTCACTTGTTTTTGTGCCTCTCCCCACTCTTGCACCAACACAAGCGTTTGCAACTGCGTGATGAACTGGATAAGTGAACTGACCTACTTTAAGTTACCCAGGTCTCTCTCTTGATCTGGTTTAGACAGTGCGGCGACTGAACGTCTAACCGTAACCAGAGGAAGAAATTGTATCAGCACAGTACCTCTCAACCGGTGAAAGGTGTACCACTGAAGCAGATGTGGAGCAAAGCAAAGCATCTGTCCCTCAAACAAATAACAAAGTTATTTACTATTATGAGGTGCCAAAAGATTTCATGATTAAAAGGAGATGGGGTCTAAGAAAGGTTGAGAATGAGTGACTCAGAGCTAAGTGAGGATTCTATTTCAAATCAAAAATTTTTTTTTTCATGTAAACCCACTTTATTAATGTCCGGTCCCCCTCCCCCCCCAAAAAACCCCAAACCCAACAAACCAACCCCAAACAAACCCACCCAAAACACCTTGAAGTTTTTAGAGTGTGTAGTCCTGGTCTGGATTTGACAGTTGAGGCTAACACTGTAGACTGAACAGATCTGAAATAATGACTTCGGAAATAGATTTTGACTGAAATCTGCACATTTTAATTAAAACCTATTACTGATAGATTAATTTTTGATTTAAACATGATTTAAAACTACATTAAACCGTGTGGTGATGTATCATGCAGGGAAAGTGTTCCTTTCGGTTTATTTTCTGTCTCGGATGAGATTTTATGAGGATAAGCATTGCTTGAAGTGCTGTATAGCTAATGAGAGGCATTTGAAATAAAATGGAGTAATCCGTTAAGACATGTGGAACGTGTTGCACTACTGCAGAGAAGGGAGAACTTGACCTAGTTAATCTATATAGGCTATAATGGAAAGTGTCATATCTTCAAATCCATGTATGATAGCTATGCTTGTAATTCTTCTTTGGGTGTGAAATGAAAGTTTAACACCTCCAGAACAATTAAATGCACGAGGAAAGCACTGTGGTTGTGCTTGCCACTGTTCTACCTACTGCTATTTTGATTGAAAGTTTGCTGTATGCTGTGAAAGGAATTTACATGTGTGGGAGTGTTTCTGACGAATACATGTCTAATTTTGTTTATAGTAATAACAAAGACATTACACAAAGGATGATCTCTATCCTAATTATTATTTAGTGATACATATCATCTTGTAGTAGAGCTGTAACTTTTATAATAGGAGTTTTGGGTTGCATTTAGACATTGCAACAGTTTCTTTATAGGTATTTTACTCATAGACTGGAGGCAATAAATATTCAAGGAATTCAGATAAAATACTCTTTGCTTTAGTAGGAAATAGCTTGAATCAAGCTGAGCCTAATTTTTCAGTAGCCTCTTTTCCTACACGCTGTAAGAGCAAATAACTGCGGTAGCATAATTGCCTTTTTCTGACTATTATTAATGATATTCCTTAGAGCAGTAGTGTTCAGGGACCATATTTGGCTGGGATCTTGTGATGCGCTTTCTGTGCAGATATGTGGCACAAAAGAGGGGGATTTACAATTTTAAGCAGGGTGTTTTTATGGGGCTGGGAGTGTTTGTTTAAAAAAAAGTCTCATTTATGCTTTGGAGATTCTATGTTTCAGAAAACAGCTGTCATTAACAAACTTCTTGTTTTTCTTTCTACAGGAGATGATAACAGAGTCCACTCCGTTACGTTGCAGGAAGCTCAGCAATCCTGACATCTTTTCATCTGCTGGGAAAACCAAGCTCCATCGTCAGCTAAGTCAAGATGACTGCAAGCTACGAAGAGGTAGTTTGGCAAGTTCTTTGTCAGGTATGCCATTTTGTAAGGACCATGTGACAATTCGTTAGTATTAAAGATGCAGTATTACTTGTTGGCATAACAGTTGTAGTAACAGGTTCTGATCAGTTGTTTCTTTAAAACTTGAGAGGTGAGCTCTTGTTGAGAGGGCATACAAAATTTTTTGTAAGAGAAAGATGCAAAAAGAAATATTAGTAGAAAAGAGTGAAAAAGAGAGACTGGATTTGGAGTGAAATTCTCTGTGTTGCCCAGAGTGAAAAGTTAGATGCTAAGCCTTAATGTGCAAAGTTAAAAGAAGGGAGCAGTGGAACTTCAGGCAACATGGTAATGCATTCTTACCCCTTTTATTTTTAAGGTCAGCACTGACTGTAAGCTTGCCTACTTTGCCATATTGTTTCTTACTGAGAAGCTGACTTTTATATCAGGTTAAAATGATTATTTAGTTTCTTTTCGGCTTCAAAAGTACTGTAGGCTTTTGTGTAAGTAAAAGTAAAATAAAAATCTTGCTTACTAACTCAAGACTATACTAACTATTCAGTTTGTATAAAGTTTGTTCTTTTTTTTTCTTGTGAACACAATCTTCAGCCCTGTCAGAGAATTTAGTTTGTCAACCGTAGAACCATGGAGCAAGCATAGTCTAGTAATTAGCCAAAAAACAGACGACCAAGCTCAGTAGTTGTCTTTTTGAAAAAGACTTTGTATGTGGGCTGGGGGATGGTTTTACAGTGGTTTAAAGCTGGTATCAAAGTCTGTGATGCTGGCATTATATCATATAGAGCTGCATGATCAGTCTAGAATGAAATAGCTGATCTGCTTGAATACTACTGTTGTTCTGTAGGGTTAACTTGCAGCTCATTTCCTCCCTAATTAGGTTGACTGTTTGCCTATTTGCATGTTAGTGCAAGAACAGAAGGGTTGGAAACTCTCAGGTGGGAGGGGAAGAGGAAGAAGGTGAAACCACCCATTTTGGCAGCAGCATGGGCTTGACTTACATGATTGTGAAAATACATCCAGTCCTGGTTCCTCTGTCTTTTATCAGGGGAAGATAAATTTTTTAGTGTTTCAGGTGCTAGGTGTAATAGAATTAGCTAAGCAGTAAAGTATGCATGTTTTATTTTGGCTTGGCCCTGTCTTAATGTTTTATTTGTAATAAGTGGCTTGTTTCTGAAAAATGGAAACTTTCATAAATGTTTTGCACTCATGTAAGTTTGTTCTCCAAGGTAGCTTAATCGCTAGAGGAGAACAGAAGTTTATTAACCACACAGCTATTGGCTGATTACAATGGCCAAAGATAGTACTGTAGTTTTGTGGTTGTTTTTTTTCTTTTTTCTTTTTTTTTTTTCCCTCTTGAGTAGAAGTAAGCAAAGAAAAGTAAATAGGAGGAATCAGGAAAACTGGAGAAGTTCTGTTTCTTTTTTAAAAATATTTTTTCTGTTTGGAGATAACATTCTTGTAAATTTTCTCTTCTGAAATGATAATGTTCTCCAGAACTTGTTGCTTCATCTTAATGACTTTTCAATCTACTGTAGCCTGATTCAGGAAGGGAAAGAGCCCCAACAAGATCAGTTTGACCCAACTGGATAAAGAAAATGTAGATGTTTAGATATATATTTTAAACGTGGGTGTTTGGAATGTATATAGGGCTTGAGGCATGGCAGGGAAAGGCTTTAGCTTCAAGCTCCATCCTGAAAATAATTCCACCTTATTTTTGCAACAGAAGCAAATAAGTTTAAAGAGTATAGGTGGTTGTGCATGCAAACTGGTTGGCTTAGATTTCACTTTTGATGGAATTCTGTCTTCCTGGATTCAGATGTTGTGGAACTAAAAGAAGATACTGATAACTATATCTTGCGGAGATAAGATATTCTTGCTCTCAAGCACTGGCATTTTGAACTGCTGGATAATTATATGATTTGAATTGCTATTATAGGATATCTTTGTTAGTGCTTTACTGAAATAAATACAGAAATGTACATTTCTGTAGTTTTAGATCTCTGCAGACAAGAGGAGTCATTGTATTTACACATAATCTTGAAAATGAGCAAACCATGAAAATCATGCCCACAGCTGTAAGCAGCTTGAGTGGGACTGGGAAAAAGGTACAGCATATTATATGCTGTGTGTCTGCTAGCCAAAGCTGAGCTGTCTCATCTCTCATACACTTTGACTCATTCTATTAATTGTACTTGGCCCATTGCTTGTAACTTGCCCAGAAAATTAACATAAACAACTTTAAAAAAAAAAAAAAAAGAAAAGAAAAAAGATGCCACTTCCACTTCACACTCCCCCACCCCCCCACATCATGGCTAATCACATTATGTGACAGTCTTCCAAATATTGTAGCTGCTTGTATGTAATGAATGTAATATTTCGCATCTAATTCTAAGGTGAAGTTGAATTTGTAAAATAGCTTGCTGCCTCTGAGAAAAAAAGTACTTTTCTACAGTATATGTGATTAAAGATGTAGACTTCTTCCTGCTACTAATTGCAACAAATGTTGTAGTATCCGAGCATGTAATAATCTGTTGAATGCAACCGTCTTCACCATGCTGGGAAGTGGGTTTGTGTAATTTAGTCTCACAGTCCTAATTTTAAGGAAAAGGGGTATTATTCACTCTCATTTTGCAGATGGTGAAGCTGAGTACAGAGGTTGACTGACCAAAGTTACAGCGGAAGTAATCTGGAAGCTAATAATGGAACCCAGATTTACAGACTTTTTCACTTATGTGTTTTTAACCACAAGACTATCTTTCTTCTCTTTTTTTTTTGTGAATGACATTGTACATAAAAGGAAACTGTCAAACTTGATGGAGTCAAAATATGACCTACTTTGACTTTGGTTCTTTCTCATTGTGGAAATCTACTGCTTGACATTTTTCAAAACAGAGCGTATATTGACTAGAAAAAAAAGGTATTGAGCAGATCCTTTTAAATGATTACTGTATTTCCTGCAGTGAAGTACAATGGTGTGAACTTGTTAAGATAGGAACTACTCTTCTCACTGTTTGTGTATGTAGCATGGGAGATTAGTGTTTACACTAATCAATCAGATACAAGGGAGACTTCGGAAACCTACAGAATGTTTTGCTTTTAAGATAATATGATATTGCTGAAGAGTGAAATTTTTTAGACAGAAAATATCCATCCATGGTTCAAAGCAAAACAATGTTTAAACATAGACTGAGTTCTGATCACAGCTGCATGAAATCTACTGCTGAATGTTCCAATGGTAGGAGAAAGCGGGGATGTCTAGATGGCTAAGCTATTTAGAAGAGGTAATGTTTTACAATTAAGAATGCATTTTCATAAGAGTTTTTAAAATTATACCTAAGAGATTTTGTAACATTAACATTGCCTCTCTATAGGGCAATAAACTGTTTAATTGGCAGCAAATACTGTTTCCTTTTTAAGCTGTGTGAAGTATAGAAAGGTATAAAGTGATAGTAGTCTGTTTCTACAACGTTTTGGATTTACCTGTTACCTCATAATGTAAACTAGATTTTTTTGGAAATACTTACTTATCAAACATAATTAATTCACAGGTAGTGCGCTCTTACAAGTTCTAACTTACCAAGACCTTCAAATTACTTTTTTTAATTAAATGCTTTTTCTCCACATGCAGTATTTGTTTTCAGCGTTGTGTTTTGAACTTGCAAACTTGTTTAAAAACAAGCTGATAGTATTTTGGTTTTGTTTTTAAAGGAAAACAGCTACTTCCCTTATCAAATAGTGTCCACAGTGGAGTGGGACAGACGATATGGCAGCCACCTGGAGATACCTCAAACCTGGTTCGCATGAGAAATCAGTCTCTAGGACAATCTGCTCCTTCACTTACTGCTGGTTTGGTGAGTGAGTCTGGGAATACTCATGATGGTTTTGTGCTATAAATAAAAAGTGGTGTGATCCTGTGCTTTAGTTTTTACCTTGCTTTCCATGCTCCTGCTCAGTGAATGCAGCATTTTGTTCCTGTGAGCCCTTTTTAGGGTAGAGCGTGAATTAGGAGGAGAATATGTTTGTCCTGCTTTTGACAAAAAGCAGGAAAATAATGTGTGTGTGAAGAATAATTTCTTTTTGGGATGCTCCTTCTCAGTGCTACTTAAGCTGCCTGATACCTGAAAGAAAGTATCACTGGAAGTCTAGGGAGATGTGAGCATGGGAACTTGACCATTTAAAACAAGTTCAATTGGGAAACAGTTTTCTGCGTAGCTACCTCTGCCTGTTTCCCTAGAGAATATCTAGGGGGATGAAGCTGGAAGGGATAACTGTCCAAGGAATTGAAGAGCTGGAACTGACATCTGCTTTTCTGCATGGTTTCTGTCAAAAGATTTTGGTAAAGTGAATGTATTTTTGAAGAATGTTGCATCTGTTAAATTAGCATTTTCTAAGAAGAGTATTCTGTATGGGGGGGGAAACTCGGATGGCTACAGTCAACTGAATTGCAAACCAAAAGCAACATGTTTTGTTTGTAGATTTTTCCTTATTACCTCTAAATATCTAAAATCACTGAAGTGCAAGGAGAAGAAAAATGTAAGAATAAGAAAAGACAGTTATTTGTGAGCAGTCATATATGCAACAGAAATGGTTGCTAAGTAGTAGACTAAAAGCAAAGCTGGAAGCTTTTTTTGCTGAACTTCTATAGAGTTGCCTGTATAAAAAGTTTCACTCCAATGAGAAAAGTGTGGTGTGCACTACTTTATAGAGCTGCAAGTAACTGGGTAAAATTATATTATATTGTAAGACTGTTTAGAAGCAATGACCCCTTAAGTAAAAGGCTGTACCTTGGATATAGCCCTTAGATTGTTAGCCCTTAGAGTTTCTGGGGGGATCCTAGACAGTTTGGCACCACCAGGCTATAAAAAGAAACTTAAATCTTTGAAGTTCAAAAAGCCATGCATTTGTGTTACCCTAATTTTGATTTCACAGTGAAGTATTTGTAGTCTTAGCATTTTCAGACATGCTACTGTATTGAAATTCTGATTTGATTTAATTGTGTCTTAGTTTGGTGCCTGTTCAGTGTCTTCTTAAATTTCTATTATTAGCAGTGGTTATAATTTGACTATATCAACAGAAAGGGAAAATGCTCATGTGAACTTTACATCTAAGTATTTATCTGATGGGGATTAAAAAAAGTAATATGTTAAAATACAGGCCTGTTCTCTAGAGGCAGGCAAATGCCTTGAGGCTTCATCGCTTAAGTTAATGAAAATAACTGTGCTTTAAAACAAAGCATTAGTTCTCAGATATTTGATATGGAATACTAGTTTGTTGCTTAACAGCTGTGTACAATTCAGTGAGCTGCAAATGTGTTCACTTGTTACAATTCTGCGTATCAATAATATGATATATTTTCAGTTTGTCATGGCAGTGTTTGTGCTATCAAATGTTTTGATATGAAATGCAATGCCAATAGCTTATTTTAAAATAATTTAAAGTTCTTTGCTTTCTAATTAAAGCAGAGAAATTCAGCTATAAATCCAGTATTTGTCCCTCTATGATGGTGGTGTTAGGTACTGAAGTATATGGTCACTTTCCTATCTCTGTATACTTTATGGTGGGCTGTGTGTTAATTACAGTTGCAGTTAATTAAACCTAGAAATTAAGAATTTTTATATGAAGTGGGTTTCTAAAGCAATGACTAAAGAGCTGGTCACAAGATGAACACCGAATCAAATGCAGTGAGACCTGGGATCTTGAAGCTAGTTACATGTTTGCAACTGTTTTAATATGCTTGTGGTATAGAAATACATTTCACAAATTAGAATAGCAAAAGGTCTCTTGCCAGTATAATTAATCTCCTTTGAAGAATAGCTCTATTAAGAGATGACTAGGTTCAGTAATGCAGAGTGTCATTTTAATATGCTAGCCTTGATTGCTACAGCATTTAATTCTTTTATTATTTGTTATAATGCAATAGACGGATAGCTAGAGAGAAGTGGGAGTGTGGTATGGGAAAGCCAGAATACTCAAAGCTATATGCATTGTTTCTGCTCCCTCTTTCTGGCACTGTAGGTATCAGTGGGTTCTCCTTTGCTGAATTGCTTTGCTGGCATTCAGTAATGTGTTTTTTTTACTTTCTATCCACTACTAATCCTACAGATTGTTTGCTGTGCTTAAATTGCATTCTTTTCAACTTTGAAAGTATTTGCAAAGCGAAAAGATAAATTAACAATAGCAAATCTATAGAAATTAGTTTGCAGCTTCTGAAATGACTGATAGCTAGGCTACTTATCAGCAACAACTCAAGAACTGGAAATACATCAAATTCTAACATGCTAAACTACATAAGCACAATTTATTGTTAGACAGAATCTTTCAGCTTGTACGTGTGTGATAGCCTGGATTAATGTGTCTGCATAGCAGTTGCCACTAGATCCTTGACTTGAGAAAGAAGCCGGGACAGACTGTGTGCTGTCATGGTGGAATGGTAGATGTTGATCTGATCTGTGTGCCTTCTAAATATATGTGAGGATTTCAGAGGATGACCATCTACTCTTAAGACGGATGGTTCTGATCCTAGTAGATTGAATTCTGATGGGGAGCATCCTATTTAGGACTTATAAATCCTTAAGATAGCCAAGGAAGTAATCAGGGAAAAAAAGACATAAAGCATCATTGTGGGCATCTCAGTGGTGTTTTCTGCTCTCAAGACCCAAATATAGCAAAAACTGGGGGCACAGGGAGTGTGTATAAAGTGTGTGTATAAGGAACAAAAGGATAATAATATGGAAATATGGAAAATCTCTTATCACTTCATTTGGGGGTTCATCTATCTGAAATCTTGATCTGCAGGCACCTTGTCATAAAAAGAGTTAGAACTTGGACTGTGTTTTGAAGGCAACTGATGTGAATGATCAGGAATATGGATGCATTGCTCTTCAGGCCTTTCTTCGTAAGAGATCAGGGTTTGTTAATTTTAGAAAGGAAAAAGAACTTGTGAAGAGAAGGTTGTGATTGTTGTAGAAGAGGTAGATTGGGAGTGTCTGTCTTGCAAATATTTATTTTGACAAAACTCTGTGTGAATGAAATTGATTGCCAGAAGCAATGCCGTAAGGTGTTAATATTCCAGGGCTGGAGCATTTACAGGTGGGCAAGGGATGTTTTTCCCCTGATGTTTATTGTTAAGGACAGGTTGCTCAACTAGAGCACTATGCTAATGCTAAATATGTGTTTACATTTGTAGAGAGAGATGTGTGGTTTTTTTAAGTGTGTCCCCCACCCCATCACCCCCCACAGAGAGCATCTCAAGCACTGTCTCCAGCATTTTGTGAAAGAAACATCTGGCAGTGTGCTACCCATTAATTAGGACTACATCTTACACACATTGCTCACTATCTAATGCCTGGAAAAGTTTGAGATGTTCCAAGAATAAGAAACCATGCATGTTCCTTCTGCCAACTGTGGTGATGGGAAAACATTTGAAGAAGCCTGTCAGTGGAAAACGAGATACTTTTGTGAAAGAGATTTTGAATGTTGTGTTTTGTTTTGGTTTTTTTTTTTTTTAATACTTACAAACTTCAGTTTTCTAATGTGCTTCCAGTACTGAACTGAAACTCGCTGTACTCCTTGAACTGAAAAACTGAACGTCATTTTTGAAAATGAAGCTGAGGATTCTAGCTGTGTGGTGGCAGTTCTCTCTTTAGAGTAAATTTTCTTCCTTGTATTCTGTACCACATGGTACATGGTCAGAGCCATTTCTTTATCTTCAGAGGTGAAGTCTGCTGACTAAGCAGTTGGTGCTCTGTTAATCCTCTGATGCCAGACTTGCAAGAGTTCCTTGTAGGGTCGGTCTCCTCTTCAGAGAGTAATTTCAAATGACTTAATGGTTTTACGTTTACTTTGTAAGCTAATGGTTAAAATAAAATGAGACAATTGCCTATTCTTTGCTGTTGTAGAGAGTGCCAAATTGTTCACCTTCCCCTGGTCTTGTTCTGGAAGTGATTAAAAAAAAAAAAGCCTCTCATTTTGAATAATGATCTGGAGGATAGAAAGGCTCAAATACAAAGACATGAAATTACTAACAATCTGAAGAACTTTCTGTGTTGAATAACACTGAGCCAGTGATGCTGTCCATTCAGCCTGATTAATTCTGAACGTGTAGTTCCCCAAAGCTGTGCAAATTCGGCAATAGCAAGTGGAATGGGGAAAATGGTTGTCCTTGTGATGGTGGGTCCTTGGCTCCGCAAGGAAGCGTGTTTTGGAAACCTGGTAACTGAGACAGACTTCACACTGTGGCATGTTATCTTTGATGTCCAAGTTGAGGTATGCTTTTTAGATGTAGGAGAGAATATGTACTGTTTATTTTCTGAAATTTTACTCCTTTGCTTTTTTATTTCATTTTAGATATGTTAGGAATGGAATCGATTGTACTTACACTATTATGGGAAGTTAATATATTATTTCCTCTGTGCAGGTTGCCCTTCATCACAGAAGGATGTACTTCAAATCTGTATCATTCTAGCAGGAAGAGTGGCTAGCTGGCTACAGATTTGGGTTTGTGGGTGAGACAACTTAGGTAATTCCCTTTAAATTCATGTGAAAGCTAAATCCAATTGCTAATTTTTCTACAGCCTACAGAGGAGTTCGTGGTGCTGGTCCGCCATCTGCTGGTGCCCCGCTGGCAACTGATAGAAATATAATAACTCCAAAATCCAAGTACGGTTTTGTAAAACGCTTTTAGAGAGCCTGGTAATTGTTAGTGATTGTTGCAGCACAGGCATGTTATTTCTGGGATTGTGTTCCACAGTAACTACCTGCGAATAACGTGGCCTTTTTTTTTTTTAGCTGGAGTATGAATTAGCTTCATATTTTAATACTGTACCATGGTTTGCAACACTCTTTTTCTGGT